TTACTCTGCAAAGTTTTTTATGGAACATAAATAAATAAAAGCTGAAAATTGCAATATAAAGTTTAAAAAAATTCCTCTAGCTTGAAAGGAGAGGATCTAAATCTAAAAGGTTTTTCTTTAAACAAAGGAAAGGGAATTTTCCAAGAAAAGTAATCAAGCTTTTAAAGGATTACGCATCAACGGCGCAATAAGAAGAAAATTTCGGTTAAATATCCCAGTGTTGCGTTACAATGACGGAAATAACAACGCGAATTTCGGCTCGAGGTAATTGGTGGGCTAAAAAAACAGAACGAGCGCTTTGTGCGAAAATATACCTAATCAATTTACGTTTAATTCGGTGGTGACGCGCGCGAGTGGGTGCGGCCGGCTTAATTTATCACCTGGAAACACTGGTGGGCGCCGCCGGGAATAAAAACGGGGCAGAGACGGAATGGGCCATTGAGTGAAAAGTCCCCACTGAGGCTGACCAGTAAACCGTGGCCCATAAACAATGGTTAGTGCTACGTAAAATAGAGAGGCGCAGAGAGAAAAAGCTCAATAACCAGTTTTACTTCCAAGTTGAAATGTAAAAGATAAAAGTATATTTTTATAATATTTATTTATTGTACATTAATAACAATATGTAAATTTAAATGAAAAAATCCAATCTATATTTATGGGGTAAAAGTTTCAAAGAATTTCAGTAATTTACAGCGGCTGAAAAGGGTAAATGAAAGTTTAAAGAGTTGCCATAATTTAATTCTCACCAACAAACCTGATTGTGAGATATAAAAGGGTTTGTTTGAAGTGGTGCACGTTATTTTCATTTTAGAAAAAAAAATTAATATGAAAGTTGTTGCTAACGACATTTAGTGTCTTTTCTTTTTGCAACAAATATGCATAAATCTAACAATTTTTGAGAAAAAAATGAACAAAATTAAATTTTTACTTCGTAGACACAAATAAAATTTTTATATTTTTTCCATCTGATATTGCTAATCGATTCCGCAGGTACAATCTAGTCAAAGACTTATTTTTTTCTAATAGAATTTGAAAAAGATTGCTTGTCTAAAATATTTTTGAAATCGCCGTTACTTAGGAATTTTTAACTAAAATTTGAGCATAAAAAAGTCACATATTTTGCACACAGACTTTTTTACCAAAACTTCCTGCCCTACATTATTTGATTTTATGCTTTGCTCCAAAGGTATTGGGCGTTCAAAATCTCAACTGCGAATCGCTTTCGATTCCGATAAGCTGAAAATCTGCAGGGAAAAGAGCAGATGGTGCGTGGGGGCCACTTACGGCTGTGAATCGCCACTCGAGCGGATCAGCATGCCGAAAAAGCGGCTTTTGGCGCCTCTCTGGCCACTCACTCTGGCGCTGACAACGAAATAAAACCTGTTGCTTTTTATTGACAAAAGAGAGACTGTCGCCAATCTGTGGCCGTCGGCGCTCTGCCTAGCTCTGTTGGGCAAACAATTTACGTGCGGTGGTATTATTTTTCTCGGCCGCCGCGTTGCAGGTTCGGTGAGCCGCGAGAAAGCGCACAGCCGAGAGCGCTTTGATTATTTCGGCGGATGAATAATCGACCGGCGGCCACAGAGACACACTCTCACGCACAAAGGCCTCGCGACCTTGAACCTTCGCGAATTTTTTTTTTCGCCCGCGCATTTTCCTTTATTTTTTCTTTGCTCGCGCATTGATCGACGGCATTTATTCCGACCTCCCACCTCTCTCTTTCTTGCTTAATGACTGCGCGCGGTATTTTTAATTACACTTTGGTGTATAAGGTCGCCGCCGCCACTCAAGCAATGTATTAATAATGATCAACTCGACGCGCAAGTACGCAGCCCGGATCGCAGAGGCGCCGTGCCGCGTCTGCAACCCCAACTACCCCGAGCCTTTCGTAATAGAGGGTGCTGCCTCGGACGGCTCCACCAACAAACCCTTTTTAGGGAAACTCAATTATCATCTTTTGTACCATTGAATTGTTTTTATTATTTTATTTATTTATTTTTAATTTGGAAGTTTCATAGAACTAAAAAACTCCAGTCTAATTAGACCAAAATTAAAAGTTTGGAATGGTATTTGATAATTTTCATTCAATCCAAAGAAATAAAAAGCCAGCGTGTATTTGAATAATTATTGACAATTTCCCAAATTTCTGTATCGACTCTAAAAGTTTGGTCATCGGCCTCTAAATCAAACTCTTGTTCTAACAATAATTATTTGAAAAATAGCTTTTATAAAGAAAATTTTTTATTATCAACTTTATACAAATAATTAAAATTGAATAGGAAACAACTGTGGTTTAATTAAATTATTTTAAAATTGCTTTTCATGTTGATAATATTGTGGTATAAGAACAAGTTTCACCTGAGAAATTCTTGTAAGATAAAGGCATATTATCAGGTCAAGCTATCCCTGTATTTATTTTTACTAAACTTAAACAAATTCAATTTGGTTGATATATGAAGTTGTGTTGGGGAAATTTTCATCAATTTTAGTTGGACCGATTTTGAAAGAAATTATCTAAAAAATTTCCATTTTTTGGCAAAAGTTTTAATTTACAAAAAATTCAATCCACCTTCCCTGCTTCTCCATATTGAATAATTGATTAATTTATTTCTCATTGAAATTACTTCAAGCTATATTTAAAAGAAAAAAAATGTCACAAATTTTTTTTTCGGCGTATGAATTAAAATTCAGGCCAGCTTTTCCTCGATGGGACTCTTTGAATGTTTTGCAGAGAAAAAAAACAATATCCTGCTGAAGCGTTGCAGGATATCCTGGGGAAGGATATTGTTTAATACTCAACGAAATAATAAACGACCAAAAAAGAAAAACACATCGATGAAAAGCTAAATATCTTCGAACGTCAATGAACGTGAAATTTCTGCAGGAAATATATTTTTCTCTTAATAAAAACCCAAATTAAAACATTTGCGATTTTCTCAAAACAAATTTGTTTCTAATATATGAAGGATTTTTTGAATGGTGCATAAACTTTTCTATAAAGGAAAAATATTTAACCTTTTTAGTTTGTTTAAGTCCACAAGATTATCTTTGCTACTGGGCGAGCAGGTGTGCAGCTTTGGAAGGGATTTGAGCAGGGATTAATTACTAGCACCAATAACGTTGGCACAGTGTGGGTGTAATTTAGCTCAAACACGTCCAGCTTGCTGACATGCTGTCAGCCTGAGATGTCGGATTTAGGAGTTTAACGTGTAGGGTATGCTGGTTTCAGTATATTATACAAATTAGTGATTTAGTAGTGGCATGATATCACCAACGCCAACGTTGTCACCAAGAACATAGAAAATTAAAAATTTTCATTTTAATATTAAAAGTTGAAAATATTTTTTTATCAACCGTATAATAATGTTTCGCATTTGTGTTGATTAAAATCGGATAATATGTCTATATAGATCTATTTTGAATTTTAATTTTCGTTTTATCCAAAACCAAAATTTCAATTTTTAGGTTCATATTTTATGGTTCATGATCCTTATTTTCAATTCGAATATATTTTTCATTATCATTAATCTATAAAACTCGTCAAATAAATCTTCCTTTCAATAAACGTCGCACCCAACGACTTATTAGATTTCGCAAACTGCGCTGCAAATATACAATTTTTTGTCGGCGCCTGAATGGATGACGTCAATTGAGGAAGTCACACGATTTCAACTCCAGAGAACAAACCTATTTTCAGCCTGTGAGAAGGATATCAACGTAATGCACACCCTCTGAGTGAGGAGTTTTCGCAACATTTACTTGGCCGGAAAGAGCTCTCGACGAGACGTGCACACAAATTAATTGAATCAGAATTTCTCAAACGCGGGGTTGGAATAATCAAAGGCATTTACACCCCGACTGAGCCGCGCAAACATCGCAGTGCGGCTGTTTAGCGAGTTGCATAACATATAAACTCGTATTACTCGTCAGGTGAGAGAAAATAAAATAAAAGAGAGCCGGTGCGTTGACTAGACGGGGATTTTTTGCTGCTCCAGGGCGTTGCCAAATTAAATTTCCTCTTCGCATCCTCCCTTTACAGCTCTTTCTCTTTTAATTACTTTTCACAGAAAATCGCGGGTTTTCCCACTACCGTTTTTGTCACTTTCTTAAAAATAGGTTTTTTTCTTCATTTCTTTAATTAATTAAGCAAAATTTAAAGTTTCGTCCTTTTTATGAGAACTATACCTTTTAATTTTGGTAACAAAAAGCCAAGCGTTTTATTCGGTGCGCATTTTAACCCTTAATAATGACTTAGAGTTATCAGACTAATTGAATTTGACATGGCAAGATTTAACTCCCTTAAAACTCATAATTTTAAACTCGAGTCAAAATTAGTATTGTGACAATTAAAATACAGAGAAAAGTTTAAATTTCTTGAATTTTACTTCAGACTTATTTTAAATGAGGAGCTACTCGCAGATTGAATTAAAAATTAATACCGCCGCTGTGCCGCATACTTTTTGGCCAAAAAAGATTATTTAATTTCACCAAAAATTAAAGTTCTTCTGATTTCTGACTTTCAACTTAAATATAATTTTCGTGCCTTGAAATTTCCATCAAAAAACGTTGAAGTTTAAGCATTTTTCAATATTATTTGCTGTCAAATACAATTTTAATTCAAAATATAAACCTCTAATTCACTCGTCATATATTATGGAAGAAAATTTGTTTTGTTTAAAATTTTTGCAATGCAATTTAATATTTTAGAAAGAAATATGACACATTAATCTCACGTCTGTTCTTCTAGCTTTTATGTATAAGAGCGCATTTTGAATGTCTGTATAATTAATGAGGGAGACGCTGGAAAGTTTTGATGCGGCGGCAAGAAAAATCGATTCAATTAAAAGTTTCCTTAGCCAAAACTTCTGCAAAGAGTTCACTCAAAATTGAATAAAGCAGAATAATCATATATATCCTTCCAAATCATCTCTCGAGCGAACAACTTCAACATGTTTTGAAATTTCATAATTAGCGAAAATTAAAAAAATTCGAGTACTCACAGACTGTGGGGTCGGTGGCGTGGTGATGGTGGTTGTGGCACTTGCCCTTGAGCTTCACCCCGAGGCAAAAGCTGACCGAGTGGTGGCCGCCGGCCTTGTGTGTCCCGCCCGGTCCGTCGAACGAGTCGGGCGCCGAGTTGGTCTGTTTGCGCATGAAGAAGCGACGCCGCTTTTCGGACGGCTTCAGAGGGCCCGCCTTGTCCGCCTGGCTTGAGATTAGGTTCAGATGCAGTTTGGTCCTTTCAAGGGACTCGGCGTCTTGGGCGCAGGGGGCGAGCATCAGCAGGGGGATGGCCGAGTTGGCCAGCATCGAGCTGGTGCGCATTGGCTGAGGTGTGGGCGCCGTGTTGACCGAAATTTGCGGCAGCAGCACGGCCGACGGCGGTTCCAGCGGAGTGCTCGGAGGGTACATTATGTATGAAGGCTCTTTAGTGCTGTTTTTTGGAGGCAACGGTTGCTCGGCAGACCTTTAGAGACAGTTGAAAGTGGAATAATTAATTTTGATTATTTTAAAAGGTGTCAAATTTGACCTTCAAGATAGGAGGAAATTTGATCATTTTAAAAGGTACTTAAAAAAAATTATCAAACAAGAAATAATACACGGTTGGCACAGATTTTATAAAGATTTTCATAAATTTGCTTTTTTCTTGTTTCTTTTCCACAACAGGTTTTTAATTTGACTTTATTAAAATAAATTTCTGACCCAAATTAGGTTGTGAGCATTTTTCTAAATATATTTGTATGATTTTCACTCAACAATCAAGATATTTAGAGTGTAGAAAAAATCTTAGAAAAAAAAAACAGTTAAAGTTTTCTAATATTTGATATTTGATAACTTATGCACATTTTTTTCCATGAAATCCTACAATACATTCATACATATTTTGGATAAAAAATAATAATGATAGCATGAATAGTTCCACGCGCCATTGCAACAACTGCATGCTTTTGAAATCAATATTAAATTATTTTTTTAAAGAAATAACTCCGTTTCCTATGGATAATTAGAAAATAATATTTAAAACCTGTTTAAAACATTTTATTTTTTAAAAGTTGATTTTATCAATATTTATGTTTTAAGGCATGGAAGATGAGCTAACGTTTTCCTTCGTTTTAAGTTTGACGTCTCAAAATAAAAAAATTTGACATTAATTTTTATCAGATTAAAAATTTTTAGGGAAAATTCATAAAATTGCTCAATTGAATAATTATATATTTCTAATTATTGATTTATATTAGAATGATCTTAAATTATTCATGATTTTATTGTTGCTTCAAGATATGTATGGGCAAAAAAAAATAAACTAAAAGGGAACGTAAATCTCCAGGAGTTTAAATTATTTAGTGAACGCTATCATTTCAATCTGAAAAATTAAAACGTCAATTAAATATTTTTATGAATTAAATACCCACCCATCAGGCATCTCATTGACCTCGACAATAATGGGCTGCAAGGGTTGGGTCGGTAGTGGCTGCGGAGTTAATGGGTGGCGCTGCTCGTTGACCATAGGGAAACTGAAGTCGATCAGATTGGGCTGCAGGTCGAGGGGTGGCGAGGGAAAGTCCAGCTCAAGGGTGGCGCTCGTCAGGTCGGGTTGGGCGCTGGAAGATGAGCCCAGGGTAAGAGCAAATTCCGCTCTCTTCAGAGAATCGAGAGAGCGCGAGCGTTGGCTGATGAAAGGTTTTGGTTTCGGAGAAGGCGGGGCTTTGGGTGCCGGGGCAGGCGTTGGGGGGCTCGCCGGACGCACCACTTCCTCCGCGTGGGCAGGTGTCGCGTCGACCGAGCATTCCTGAAATAAATTTTATTTGGTCAGAAAATAAGGAAATGTTTATAATTGGAAAAAAAGAAATTGATTTTTTGAAACACTCAAAAGTAAATCCTCCTTGATCAAAAACTTGTAAAGCAAACTTTTAAACAGCTGAAGATTTCACAGACGAAAAAGAGATTACTGAACCTGTGAAAAGCTGCCGTTTTCTTCGATCAAGGTTGCTTTATCTTTCCACGTGTCGGACAATGAGCGTTTGCTCAAAGCAAACCTCTTCCGTAGTGCCTTGGCAGAAATTACCAAGTTTGGCGGGCGGAAAGACATGGTCCTTGTTAGCAAACTTCGGTTCTCCTTCAGTTCTTCCATCCTCTCTGTAACAAAAAGCAGAAAAATTTGCATCAACTTGGAACTATCTGGATGTGTAAACTGATAGGAACAGACAGAAGCCACAAATCCTTGTTTTAACTAATGCAGAACACTCTAAATTAATTAGAAAGCAACCCCACAGTGCCCCACAGGAGCGTTTGTCTATATCAAATATCGTTGAGTTCTGAGAGCATGAAATTTAAGTTAAGGTAAATTAAGTTTCAAAATTGTTAAATGTTTAAATTACACTGGACAACAACGCCCCAATACGGAAAAATGAAAAATCCAGTTAATACAAATATGGCCAAAAATTTAAAATATAGAGAGAAAATAATCTAAAAGATGATTGAAAACTGTATAAATTTGGTAATTTGAAGTTTTGATTGATTTTAGCAAGAGAATTTCTTACATATCATTTTGATTCTTTTCAAACACAGCGGGAAACAAATCTTTTACTTCTCGTCAGCAATTAATGTGCAGAGTTAAAGACTAATTATTTCTAAAATAAGGGCTCAATTTGGTTTGCATGTAAAAATATTTTTTATTCTTTTTTTCATTACAACGTGAGTGTTATGAAATGATATAGATTTTAAAGTTGAATTTATTTCCCCACAGTGAATAAAAACATCTGCATTGATTGTTGATAACCGCAACCAGACGTGCTTTGCAACGTGAATACTCAAAGGGCTTTGATGCAACCTCCATTTCCTTAAGCAACGTGAATAATCAAATCATTTCCATGGGTTTGAAACCTCGCGTGGGATTTTCATTAGAGCCGATAAGTGCCTCTTCACAAGAGACATCAGCAGAACGATAAAAAATCAATGACAACTACGATGTAATTATTGCTCTTAGAATATGTACAAAATAATGTTGAAAAAAATTGAATATTTAAAAAACGGATACTCCTCTTGATTGAATTTTTTATGTGGCTATAAAAAGCGTATAAAGTTGCCGATTAACAGTTTGCGGCTTAAAACGGCTTTTACAAGATTATGAATTTCCCATTATTTTTGTGAAATTTGTCCTGCCGTTATTTCCGTAGTTAATAAAGGATGCGGCAGTAAAAAGCCAAAAATCCACTTAAGCAAGCAAGAAAAAGGCTGCTATGTAGAAGGAAAGGTAAACAAAATTTCCACTCGGCCGGAAAAAAAGGTAGTGGGCGGACGACGACAGGGAAAAAACTTTGGATTTAAAATGTTGCCGCTAGTCTACCTCTGGCTCATCAAATATTCAGTACAGAAATTCAGGAAATGTGTATGTACCGCTCTCTACTCTCTCTCAGCACGGACCGATCGATCTCATACGTTTGTGTTGAAAACGCAACAAGTTCGTTAGACCAATGTAGTGCGATAAAATAAAATGACGTGCAATCACAAGCGTTTTTAAATTTGTTTAATTTTTTGGTATGTATACATTCACTAATTAATTATTATTAATTTTTTTATTTAATTAGAATTGCGATCTAAATATTTGCTATGCTCGGACGAAATTTCTCCTCATACAGAGTGAAATGAAATTTTTGTAATTATTCTTTTTCTAAGAGGCTTCATTGAATATTTGAAAATGTCAAATTAAAAATTGGTGTTTCCTGTTTTTAGTTAAAAAAACTACCAATTGTTTTCATTTTTTCATGGTATAAGTTTATCTCTACAGGAACTTATGCTGTTATGAAAATTGGCATAATTTTCCATCAGCTGGACCGATTAAGAGATTTTTGAAGCGCTTATTTTATAAAAAAAACGTCCGCTGTACTTTTTCCATCGATTTTCCGTAACACTTTCCGCCGCTCTGAGTGCTTTTCAGCGGAGAGGAGTTGTCGATGTTATTGTTGTCTACCTCTGGCGCCCTGCACCTGATGATGTATTGCACATACGCGCGCTTCGGGGAGCGAGCCCCAAATTGATATTCCCGCTGCGTCGGCACATACAAGAAGCTTTTGAAAAATAACCGACATTTTTCTGTGTGTGTCGCAAAAGCAGTAGCCGGGAGGCTGCCGGGCAAAATGTCAAAGATCAGCAGTCAGCAGGTCGTTTCCATGGATTGTTACCAAATCGAGTTTCGCGGCAGGCGCACACTTTCCAGTGAAAGGCCGGTCAGCAGGTGGGTTTGGCCGAGACTTGTTAATAATGAAACGTGAAAAGCGGTTCGTAATTGGTAAATAAATCACAGACAACTTTATAAATTTGTTTTTTGTTTTCATTTTGACAAGAGGACTTATGACTAAGGATGAGTAGTGTAGCTTTTGCATTCATCTTATTGTTAGTATAATTTTTTAATTTTGACTTGTTTTACAATTTAATAAATAAAAAATAAATTTTCATGCAGGAACACAAATCTTCAGTTCAATTTTATTTGAATCTTCATCTCAGCTGATTTTTACTGAAAATTTCTATTCTCTTCATTTTCAGAACTTATTTATTATAAATTTTAAAAATCTTTAATTTATTTTCAATTGAATTTTCAGCAAATTGTTTAAAAAACCCTTAATTTTCCATTTTTTACAAATGTTTTAGTTAAAAAAATTATAGTCAAACACTCTAGAATTTTGTAAAAATCGCAAACTTTTCAATTAAACCAACGTCAAGCTTTATAAATTTTTCCTTTTGCACAAAGTCTTCCAGCTTTAGACATACTTTAGATTTTGATGGAAAAATCAAATTAAATCCAATGCATACTTGAAACCACTGAGCTGTATTGAAAACCAAAACCCTTCCACCTGCGGCTTTGACACGAAACTTAATCAAGAAGAGCAGAGTTTTGCGGCAGGTTACTCGTGGCGCGCGAACCAGATTTTCCTCTCGGGCTGCTCCGCGCGTCAATACACTGTAATGAATTGAAAAGCTGCAGGCGGCTGGTGTGCACCACTTGAGACCCATTATCATAAAATAGCAGCAGAAAACGCGTGCACGGCGGGCGGCGCAGCTCCCAGGGAGGCTCGGCTAAGGGATTACGAGGCCTCTTGCACACACACGGCTCCCATTACTTTGTGTATGCGCACCGGAATTCTTCAATCTGGCGAAGTGAGTCGTTTGAATATACAGCCTCAGGATTTCGTTTGTTGATCAACCTAAACCGCGGCGTCTCTAGAATATTAAAACTACTGTTCTTACAAGCAAGTTTTGAAAACGTAGAAGTTGCTTCAGTTTTTTAGGCTGTATTTAAAATTTTGAATAGTTCACTGCAGCCCGCGCAAAATTTAAAGATGAAAAAAAAATGTTGAAAAAAATGTTCTTATTTTGTTACTTGTAAACGCTTCTTCACTTTTTTTCTTTTTTTTTAATAATTGTAGAGATTAAATTCTAATTTGGGCAAAGCTCTATTTTTTTGTGTTAGTTGGATGAAATAATGTAATTTTGGATCGTAAAATTTAAAGTGCTTTCTATTTTCATGGAAATCAAATACACATGTGAGTAAATTGCAGCAGCTGCAAAAAGTTACCATGAGACATTTACATTAAATGTTTACTTACAGTGAAGCGCGATTTAAAAAGTGCTAGAGTTTCCTTCGATTTTCAGTTGAAAACTCTGCTGTTTTTGTAAATCGGACTAAAAAAACGCATCATTTCAAATACACACGCGCGAACGACAGTTCTAATTAGATGTGATGGAAACGACAATAATGGAGAAAAGTGTGTTAGGCGCACTTTCCGATGCCATTAGCCGCGTCATCAATCAAATCGACCCACGCGTCCTTTGGCCAAAAGCAATCAAACGAAATGATTGATCTGGAAAAAATGAGATGATTATTGTTTTTTTTTCTTTGCCAGCCGCCGCAAGCAACCCTCCTGTGCAGAGACGAGAGGCTGTAGTTTTGATTTCTCAGAGGATTTCCGCCGAGAAACAGAGAACAAAGCGCTGTTGTGACTTGTTTAATTGAGAGAGCACGACTCGCAGCCGCGGGCAGAGTTTTAATTTCTTAAATAGACCATCTCGGCTCCTTTTCTGCGAGCCTGCTCTCGCATTGCGCAGCATGAATATTCATTAAAAGTGTATCCCGCCGAATGTAATACCCAACAGCCCACGCTGAGAACTTTTGATTTAATGAGAAGGATTGTGCGCGCATTGTTTGGAATGGCACTTGGCATCTGCAAGTCTAATTATTACTCCAGGAGGTACATTTAATGGTAGTCTCGTAGCCTCAAACCTCAAACAGTTTGGCTCATTGTTGCTATTGAGTAAGATTTGATTGTAATTCATTTAAATTTCATACAATTTCCTAATAAATAAATTGATAATTTTGTTACATAGTCTGGAGCATTAAATTGATAAAATTATTAATTGATAAAAAAAGATTTTATAAAATGTAAAAAAAAACTTTAATTAAATAACTAAATAATCAGACTTAACCTTTGGTTGAAAAAAATTGGATTCCAAGTGTTAAATTCCGAGTTGAAAATTTGGAAATTTAATTACTCCTCAGCTATTGTTGCCTGAAATTAATTACTAAATTTATAGTTTGAAATTTTATGCAATTTACCAAAAGAAATTAAAAACTTTCGATCATTTTTAGGTAACCCGTGCTTTTACTGGCACATAATTTTGTTGTTAATCTCCCTCTGTTTTTAAAAATGAATAATATTTACAACTATTGTGGACTCGTTTGCTTGCTCACACAGGCAAAAGGAGTTGTTGTTGCACAAGCAGATTCCGCATGCGGTGTTGACGACGGTAAATTGCGACGTGCAAAAGCGTACGTCAGTGGATTTTGCTTGAAAAGGCGGGTGAACGAGACGCACAGGGAGAGACGAGTGCTCATCTCCTGTCGGAATGGCAATATGAGATGATAAGAGGGAACAAAAAGGGAGGAAATTGGCCCGAGGTAAACAGCTCGAGCAGGATGAAAAAGGTATGCGAGCCGAGCCGGTGAGGAAGGAAACTGTTGTGGACCAGTGGCTCGCACTTTGATGTGAATCCGCCCTGAATTGAATCCGTGGGCGTCACTTAATGCATCCACGAACGGCCGTGTGGCTGCCCAGACGTGCTCAAAATTCGTAATTTTAGGGACGACACAAAGCACACCTTCACCAGAACATGATGTAATGGAAAAATGAATTCATAAAGCTAAAATGGACAATATAGCTTACATTTATGTACAACATTTTACATGCACTAAAAATTAATCAAAATTAATTCTTTTATTTCTTAAATCGCTTATTTAAAAAAAATGTTTCACATTTTGCGATGTTTAAAAAAATACACATTGAAAAAATTTATTTGTTAGTTCTTATCTTTACCTAAATTGGTCCTGAAATTAATTTCTTTTATAGCTAGTAGTCGTAATTCATTGAATTTGGTCAATAATAAAACAAAAATATAAAGGTTCTGCATATATTTTCCTAGAAGTATAAAAATAATTATCTGCTTTTCACATTCCAGAAAAACTAACAATAAGAAAAAAATTATTATGCATCCAGCTGCATAACTTTTCTAACCTAAACACGGTTTTTCCGTTGAATTTACCATGTTCTGAAAAGTGGAAGAGGTTTGTCCCACTTTTTTTCTCCTAGTTTGGCTTGAAGAGCTCTCAAGTGAAAAAATTTGCATTTGCATAGAATATTTCGCGCATAATTGTTGCACCGCGTGTCGAGGGCATGCAGTCTCACGCTTCGGCAGGCTTGAATGCAATTCGAGCTCGGGAAAACTGTGACCCAGTTCGCATCTACCTCAGCGGGAATTTATAAATTTTCAGAGTTGAAGCTCGGCCTGTGCTTCATTTGCTCGTCGTGCTCTCTCATGATGAAATTAGAGCGCGCCAACTGAATAACTCTTTGTCAAATTCATTCCGAGCCATCGGCTTCTTTGTGCTGGCTGCGAACAGGTGGATCTGCCACCGAGTTTCGAGTCTAAAAAGCGCCCCTGCGAAGTGCGGAACCATTTTTTGGCGGCTTTAAAGAAAATCAATGCAACGCCAGAATAAAGGTAATCAATAGCTGGAACCTATTAAGGTGATAAATATCTTCTTTTAAAACAAATAATTTGAAATTTAAGTTACCTACTGAACTGATATTTTTGTATACTTTTTTCAATTGTTTAAAATCACTTATATGCAAAAAGAATAGAAATTAAAAATATTATCACTAAAAATTTTGTTCAAATAATAATAATCATGAAAATGAAAATTTCGTCAACAGCAAGGCTTCAAGTTTAATTAAATTTTTGCCATCAATATTATAACTCTATGCCCATAATAAATACATTCAAAAGTTCATCTGTTTGTCTTTTTCATTTAGTTTTTCGTCCACAAGTCTGTAATGAATAGTAACTAAACTAAATATTTATTTCTTGATTGATCGAAAGAAATCAAATTCATGCCAGCAAATAAATTAGTTATGCAACGCGCTCCACACCCTTGACCAACAGGTTGCCTACACTCAAATCTGAAGTCTTCACAAAAACTTTGGATTTTTTTGGTTAGTTAGTTTTATATGAAACACATAAGATATTTCAAGTGTTTAGTATTTTAGAAAAATGTGCCAATAGTGAAAAAATGATAGAAAATTTGGTTAAAAAGTTACAAAGGAATTGCGACTTACCTCTTTTCATGTGCGTACTAAGTCGGGAAGGCCAGATCTATTTCCTGGAAACAAAAATTTGTAAAATATTAGAATTTGTAAATTAGAAAATGGAGAATATTTCATCAACAAAATAAAATAATATTATTATGCAAACAAATAATTTTTACGCATTCAATTGCACAAAATCAGATAATTATCAAGAATCTTGAATATCGCAAAATAGAAAATTGCTTTTTAATAATGATCAGTCGGGTGTAAACGGGTAACAAGCCAATAGCGCAGATAAGGAGCGTTTCCTGAAAAGGAAGCTCGCGAGACTCACTTCACTAATCAAATTCAGCGATCTGTATATATGAGAAATATCTCATATGCACGTTTTGCGTCTGAACGAACGCATTATTCCGTGCTTCGACGTTAATCAAACGGCAGCTTTCCTGCTCCTCCTCGAGAAAGATCAATTTGCTTATTTTGACGTCAGATAATGCAACCGGAGCGAAAATCAATGCACGCCTCGTGATTTACGCTCTAATGGCTCACCTGGAGGAACTTGAAATCATATCGTTATCAAGCAAGACAATAAACTTTATTTAAAATGAAACTTCCACTCTGCTTACGCAAAGACAAACGAGAGTGACTTTCTGCCTTGGAGGAGATTAAACGCGTGAGTCGCTTTGAAAATTAACGACGAAAATTCAGAATATGAGCTTGAGGAAATTTAATAAGCTTTATTTGTTATTTTTAGTATCAATTGGTTAAAACACCATTTTCTATTTCAAGAAACTAATTTAGAAAAAATTTTGAAAAGGCATGTTGAAATTTATGCAAATGGCATCTAAAAGAATCCATACTTCCAATTTAAAAAATTGTGTCATTTAAAAGGCTCAAATTTTAGTTTACAAGGTTCAAGTGAATTTTATTTTAAGCAAAAACGTAGAAACCCATCTTTTTAGCGTGTAAATTTTATGGGAGTATACAAAATTTACAGATGATATGATTTATTGATTTTTTAATCAGAGCTGATATGAGGCTGGGTTCGAGATTTTGCAAACAAAAGAGTGCTTATTTTCTATATGAAAGACTGAGTGTCAAGAGAGATTTTGATTCACATAAGCTTTCGCATGAATAGCAGGTTATGAAGCTAAAATCAGATCATTTGCAACTCCAGCGCGTCTTTCAACTTTATTCAAAGGCGAACGTTTCACTGTGCTTTTCACTCAAAGGAGATCTATTGAATGGAAATTTACATTGCTACATTAAATGAAATCTGATTCATTTGCAACTTTTAAGCTCTTCGATTTTTCCCTTGTAAAAGAACACAACAAAGGCATGAGAGCTGTAATATATCATAATTTCAATCGACTCAATATTTAATATGCTGCCGTATACATTTTTCTAATATTTAAAAAAATTTGAATTAATGAAAGCTTAAATTCTGGATTAAATCAGAGAAAAAACAATCCAGTAGTATTTTAATTTGAAAAAATAATAACAACACAGAAAGTTGCAAATTTAAAAAAAAAATATTCAGATTTTTACTCTGCCTAAAATCATCCGTTTCAGATAAATGAAGCTCATAACAAAAATCGCGCCTATTCCGCCAAAACCACCTATTTTCCCCAAGCCTAATGACCAACGGTCTGATGAGATTTAGAGAGGTAAAAACAAAGTGAAAACTTTCAAATAGCCGCAAAACTGCTGGTCCCACTTGAATTTCAGAACAAAAAATGCACCCGCCCGCTGGCGCACTCAGTGGCTGAATTCCATCCAACAGCACAAAAAGACCACTCTTCACTGCCAGACCGTTTTTCACGGGAGAGAAGCAAGAGAGGCAGTTGTTAAAATTTGGTGTGCCTCTGTACATTTTCTTTGTTGGGCGGAAAGAGGAAAGGCATCATCAGTCTTTCCTGCAAAAGCCGTCAAATATAGGGAGCCTCTCGCCCGCCCGTTCCGAGGCCGCGCGCGCACTTTCGCGCTGCAAAAGGGATTCGACGATGCAAATTAAGTTACACTACAAAGTGACTAAAATCATTCTAAAGTGGGTAAAAGGCGGCGGCTGACTGCATTTCAGGCCAAAGAAGCTAATAGCGCGTCATCACTTGCGACGTTCGTAAGAAAATTAAGTAGAATAATTGAGAAGAAGAGAAATTTATAATAAAATTTTAACTTTGAAATATTATACGACCAGAAGCTTTTTTGAAAAATTAAAATTTTCTTTTTTAAATTGTATGTCTCCAATGAAAATTATGAAATTCAGGCTGAACTAAACAACAGTTTCTTCATATGCATCTGCGGGACTGCAAAGAGGAAGAGAAATTGTGAAATTAAAATAATTCTGTGCAATTTTTGTTACATTTGAAATGTATTTTTTTATATAAATATATTTAATAAAATAAATTAATTTAACTAACAATAAAAAATACGACTTCCGTGAAAGCAAAATAATGAAACTTTATATTAATTTAAAATTCTCAATTAAAATGTATCATTTTGATATTGCATTTTAAATATTAATTTTTATATCAATAAATATTTGAAGGTTCATATATTTTAAAATGAATTTTTATAAATTTCTTTAATAAATTTACATTGTATCCAAAAAATTTAAATATCTGCTTTTACAATCTCCATCTTCAGATGCTTTTAAGAAATTATAATCAATCCACGGCTTTCCCTTCTGCAAAATAATGAGGTCTGCTCACTTGCTCAGGGGTCGAGTTGACAGGGGGCGAATGAATGAAATGCATAGTTGGTGTGTGAAATTGAGTTCTCAAACTGCTTAACGCGCACATTAACTCCTTGGCAAGCAGTTTCGAGAAAGCGGAAAATTACGTTAGCGGTGGTGGCCCTTTAAAGACGTGTCAGCCGCTGCAGGTTCCGGTCTTTTGTAATCATTTTAATGCCACCCCAACGAACGATCCTAATGAGGTCCAAACACCCTCCAAATAATTTAACGTACTTTCCCCTGTGAGCTTCTATTACAAAGTGCAAAGATCCAATAGAATAAAATAATTTTAGTGTTCCTAACTTGAAAAAATTTGACCAAAATATTTCATGTCTCTTAAATACTTCCAAGGAGAACTTCTGAAGATAATAAATGAACTGAAAAAAATTACAATAAAGAGCAAAAAATGGAGTGTGTCCCCGAAAGACCAAGTAATCAGCAGCTCTTTTGGCTTTATAGAGTCATTAGAATTAAAAAAATCACCTAAAGTCATTCAACCTGAATTTCAAATGATATAATAATTTGATACAAATTTGAACAAATTTAATTTTTGGTTCAACCAATTCAAGAGACACTTTCGCCCAATGAACAGAAACCATTTTATATTCTCCAAGGAAAAATATACAAAGATAAATTTATATTTTGCGAAATTTTAATAAAAGTTTTGATGTGTTACAATAATTTTTTAATCTTTAACTTTCCATAAATGTATCAAAGGAAATTAGTTTACAGGCGTTGAATAGCAGCGCTGCACGCAAACAAAGCCCGGCGCAAAATGTTATTGGCGAAGTTCGCCTTCTCGCAACAATAATTGTTTCTCCGCCGTGAGCTACGGCCAAGCCCTTTATCCCCCGTAGAACAAAGAGCCTCACCGATTCGCCCTTAGATTGCATCTCTCTAGCTTCAGCCGCTCCACGGTCTGGTGCGGGGAACATGACCAAAGCAAATCACGACTTTTCAAAATGGTCTCGGCTTTCTACTCGCAGGCAGCGGTGTTTCATTCTAATTATCCACCTCTTTCCACCGACCACCACCATCCAACAGAGGGAAGAGTAATGCGGCTCTTAATTAAATATTACACGCCATTGTCGGTGCTAAGTTGCGCGCAAGTAATGAGTTTTCGCGCCAGCTGACACCACGTAATTAGATCGGCTGAGCTCCATTCTGCATCTTTTGTGTCTTAATGTCCAAGTTGATAAATTGGAAATTTTTATAATTCGCGACTGAAAATTTAAATTGGATATTCCATCTTCTGGGGCAATTTCATTTTTGGAAGCGCAATAAGCAAATTTAATTAAATTTGAATTAATGAGTGTGGACATTTGGGACGATGCTATCTTATTTTTTCCATAATTAATTTAAAAAAGTCAACATGAACAAAGTCAGTGTTCAATTCGTAAAAAAAATTTTAATTAATTTTATACACATATAACATTTGATTTTTATTTGTATCCTTTTATTTTCAATGTAAAATTATAAAACAAAAAAATGTTTTTCGGAGAGAACAGCCTGCATGCAACAGTCTTGTTTATGAGTTAAAGTTAATTGATTATTATCATCTAGGGAATAGGACCTTTCGAGAAGAACACCTACGCGGTAATCGCAAGCTCCCTTAGGAGAGCTAAATCCTTTAATTTGTTCTGAGTGCCCTTCCCACTCTAAATGTTTTCGTGGGGCTGTTCTTTAATAATTTATGCTTAGCATAATAAGCATTCATGGTTTCCACTACTTGAAAATCCACTTTGCAGCTTAAAAATTTTACAAGTTTAAAATAATAAAATTTTTACTCCAATTTTCAATAGATAATTTTTGTTTGTTCACATTGATAGAGGAAAAATATCATAAAATTAATTATGTTATAAACCTGATATAAACTTTCTGAATTAAAGTTAATTTCTATAAAAAAAGATCTTCCCACAAAGCTAAATTAATATTTAATATTATTTCAAATAAAATTAATTCAAACTATTCGATTTAACTGTTTTTTAAGGAATGTAATGCTTTTCAAAAAAGCAGTCTTTGTGGGGCTTGAAAAAAAGTTCTGGTAAATTTTGTGCCACATTTCACTTTTTTAAACAAACATGTTTGGAAATGGAAATGATTATTATTTATTGATGACCCAACATCAAAGGGAATAAATTAAATTTGGGAAAAGCGCTTTCCATCGTAGTGTGAATTGATGATGGCCATTAGCGATTGCTTTCATTTTTCATTCATGGCCCGCGGCTGAGGTTTACACCAAAATCAAAAGCAAATCAACTGAAAACGATTCTATTTGATGCGCACCAGTGCACACAAGACTAGTCAAATGATACATATTTGACCAGCGTAATTAGGCTT